TAGTTTTTTGTATTTTTTAGTAGAGACGGGGTTTCATCATGTTGGCCAGTATGGTCTCAATCTCTTGACCTCGTGATCCAACCGCCTCGGCCTCCCAAAGTGCTGGGATTACAGGCGTGAGCCACTGTGCCCGGCCTATAATAAAACTTTTTATACATCAGGATTTTTGACCCTTACAAGTTTTTACAAATATTTCCTCAAATATTTGCCCTTCCTCTTTGGTTTATTTAGGGTACGTCTTTGATACACATAAGACCTTTCCAGGTCCTGCTTGGTATAGAAGCACAGGAAGGAAGGTCAATAGATTGGACTGTCCAAAACCTTCAGGTTTCAGAATCTAAATGCTTTCCTCCTCTCACTTAAGTTCTGTGCTTCAGGTATGTTATTGACTTTGAAGGTCAGCAGTTTTATAGCCTGACAGCTCTGCTTCTGAACATTCAGATCTGTACTCTGGACAGAGCAGCCACCATAGTTGACCAGGGAGTGGGTGTGACCCTGCCAGGGGTCCCATTTTTTGTTGGATGATTCTCGGGGCTTAATGCTGAAAGAACAGGTTCCCAGGGCTAGGGTGTGAAACTCAACTGTAATATCACAAACCCCTTCAAAGTTCTACCCCAAGGAGGCCAAGAACTCTCTGAGCAGACCTATCCATCTGACGCTAAATTTCTCCATCCAGCCTGAAAACAGCCTCCTGTCATCCCCCCAGCCTAGCGAGTCCCTCGTGCTGCTGGCGGCTGAGCAGACCAGTGGCAGTTTCTCACAGCTCTCAGGAAAGCTCCAGCTCACAGCAGACAGGTGGGTCCTCTGTGGGGTCAGCTCCAGATCCCTTCCTCCAGCGTGAAGTCATGGGATCAATGACACCCTCTACCAATCTATCTCAGTTCCTTCTTTGTATTTTAGATAGTCATGCACATGGCTTTTTCTGTCAATTTTATTGTAAGCCTGCCTTTGAAAATAAGGTCTTTGGCTCTTTGATCTGAATATTCACTCCTTAGGCAAAATCCAGTGTTTTCTAACGACAGGTGTTCAATAAAAGGAATGAGGGATGAGAAAATCAATTCAAAGAAGTGAAGCTAACAAAGCAGGCTCATGGTGGAGTTAGCTATTGACTATTTCCAATCCAAGCTCACAAGGATCCCTGGGGTAAAACCCTAGTTCTCTTTGCCTCATCTGCCTCTTCTTTTTTTGTTTTCCTTTTTCTTCTTTTCTTTTCTTTTCTTTTTTTTTGGAAGACAGAGTTTCACTCTTGTTGCCCAGGCTGGAGTGCAATGGCGTGATGTCGGCTCACTGCAACCTCCACCTTCTGGGTTCAAGCGATTCTCTTGACTCAGCCTCCCAAGTAGCTGGGATTACAGGCACCTGCCACCACACTCGGCTAATTTTTTGTATTTTTAGTAGAGACAGGGTTTCACCATGTTGGCCAGGCTGGTCTCGAACTCCTGACCTCAGGTGATTCACCCACCTTGGCCTCCCAAAGTGCTTGGATTACAGGCGTGAGTCACCATGCCTGGCCCTCACCAGCCTCTTCTGCAAAACGGACAGAATAAGGGAAACTACCGGTAGCTCCAAAGTCTCATTAATTTACTAATAATTGTATTAGATTCTTTCTGTAAAAAGTGATAGAAACTCAAAGTAAGATAGTGCAACCAATATGCTGCACAAATGCAACTTGTAGGGTATCATCAGAATGCAAATTTATTTTGTCTGCCCTTCATAACTTTTTCAGTGGCAGAAGTTTTCCTCTTGCCCCTGGATAAAAGCTGGATTTCTGGGCAGGCTACATAGCATATGGGCTCTCTCTGAGAATATAAAAGCTCCTTTGGTCCATTTAAATTGCAAAAGCAGCCTCAATTCTGAAATTAAAATATCTAATGTCTGAAAATTATCAAAACCCTGAACTTATCACATCTTCTCCTTACCCTCAGTCTGGCTCCCTATCAAGGTGACCTTTCCTAGTGGGGAACTGGGTTGTCACTCTTCTTCTCTTTCTGTTTCCTAATATTTAAAGCTAACTTTTTTCTCTTAGGAGCTTTCTTTCTTTTTTCTTTTTCCTCCTTTCTTTCTTTTCTTTCTCTTTCCTTTCCCCCTCCCCTCCCC